GTTATTAGAAGATAACTATTAGTAAGAAGCACCATTATGCAGTGTCCTACTGCAAGATCTGATCCACCTGAGGCATTTCAGTTCACCCCATTCCAGTCAGCTTGATCCTACCCCTAACTTTTCAGGAAGTAACTGAKGCTATGCACTGTCAGGCTGACAGCCAAAGACACCAAAGACGCTCCTTTCTCTCTTCAATTTACACGGTGGGTGGAGGCTTGGGCAAGGAGGAGGCAAGAACAAATCAAGCAGAACAAAGGCCTCTGCTTGTCACCTAAAGCTCTCACAAAATCAGTATCAGGTACAACAGAAACTTTAAAACACCTGGATAACAGTCAGAGGATTCTAGGTGGTAGAGGAGAAGTAATTTTTCCTTTCTTAGGTCACCATGTAGTGCTCAAGTGTTAGGAACAGAGGGAAGCCACGCAACAGAGGAGGACGAGACAAGGCTGGGCTACCACTTCAAGTTCTCTAAGGCCAGGACACAGGACCTTGTCCTAGCACAACCTGCTGCCAAGAAGCCCAGCACGAGTGGAAACTCTGMTGAAGGAAAGGACGAGAGCTGCCACGTGGCAAGCAGGGAGAGTGATTCCCAGGGCCTGGGAAGAGCCACAGGASGAGGGCAAGGAGGGAAGACCAGTGGAGAAACACCAGCTGCCACATGTGCTGCTGATGCCTCAACAGCAGCAGCAGCTCTGCCTTCACACACTGGCAAATACTCAGTTATTTACATTCAGCATCTATGGGAATTATTATATACGGAAGCTTTACCACTTAAATTTGTGTCTTAAATAGCAAAAATACCTTTTCAAATGATTTGGGCCAATCATCACTATGGATGTTTCTCAAGTTCCCTCGGTCTTCAATCTTGTAGTGCCTGATTTTCTGGTCTTCGAGCCAGACAATAAAATTTCTGAATTCCGTCTCATCTATAAAGGGAAACAAAAGAAGAATGAACCAATATTTTAAGGAAAAAAYAACACGTGAATTTTGAGGCAGCTCATTCGAAGGGAGTCTGGTGTCTTTGCAGGCTTTCATGTTTTATCATAATGAAAATGTATCTTCCACTAAAACTGTATTTTACAAGATAACATCTGACTAAAACTCAGCACTRTGAGTGTTTCCGATTTTTATCGTCACTTGACTGTCTATGGTCGACTGACTAAACTAACCAACAGATTGTTGTTAAGTAAAGAAKGAAAAGCAAAACAATGACAGGGAGAATTTCAGTTACTAACCCTGTTGTCCAGGCAAACATGTCACGTGTTGCAATAACCCCCAGTCTTTTCTAAAAAACAATACACACACATCCCGTGACTCCACAAACGTATTTTTCCATTACTGTTGATTCAACATTTTACCATTTGGAGTCAGAATTCCACAATACAAAGCCTGAAGTCCAAACAAAAATATTAGCACAGGACCAAGTAATTGCTTTGCACCTGCTCTTTGGGGACAGGATTGATTTCTGGACRCTGTAAATCACAGCCCTAGAGAACTACTGCCCTCTGCCCCCAAAACAGCAACACTCTCTCACGGGGTGAGTTTTCATATCCCGAAGCCGCTTCTCCTGCATCTCAGACTGGGTTAAGGACAACATTTCTTCCCTGAGGGACAAGAACAATATTCCTACTGCTCAGCAGTGCCTTGAGCAACATAATCGTCCTATTTCTGTTGCACTGTAAGAAACAGAGTCACAACAAGCCTGMAAAAAAAAGCTTTTGGTACTAGAGGAGTGCCAGAATCAGATTAAAAATAAATAGATAAATAAAAGGTAGCCATAAAAAAGCTTAGATCCCCTATAAAAGAAGATGCTGGAAGCCAATCTCTTGAAGGAGTCAGTCTACTGGAAGCATTAAAGCAAAAAAAGCCTAAGRAAAAAAGATGGTATAAAGGTTATAATTGATCATACTGGTTAAATGTGAATCTTACAATGCCCCTTTGGGGCAGTATCAGCAAATATAAGGTTAAAAAAGGCCAGATGTGAGTGCTGGGCAGCGGAGCGGCCAGGGCTGGGGAGCAGCAGCCCAGGCCGGGCTCGTGGGGCAACGGCRGCGGCTCCGGCCTTCCCACAAGGAACGAGTTTAAGGTATTACTATTTATTAAAATCATAGCATTAACTATAATTTTACGAACTATGAACTACAGCGAGTTGTGGCTGAATCTTGGCCGCTGATAGCTGCAGAAAYGCAGCCCCCAAGACGCTTTCCCCCGCCTTTTTTGTTGTTTTTTCCCCATTTTTCGCCCCCCGTGTTTGAGACCCGCGGGTACCGGGGAAAGGCAGCGCGGGGAAGCGCCGCTCGCACGGAAACCGCCGCGGAGGCCGCACCGAGCGCCAGCCGCGGGGCGCCCGGCCCCAGCGGCAAAACACCGAATTAATGGGGGGAAAAAACCCATAAAAACCCACGGAAAAGGCCCCAAGGCGACGGGAAGGCCCGTGAGGCGGGAGCGAGGCCCCGCGCAGCGCCGGTAACGGGAGCCTCACCCCTGCAGTTGAAGCCGGCCGGGTTGTGGTAGTCGAGCGCCGAGAGCTTGCGGCGGAACATGGCGCCGGGAACGGAGCGCGGCCCGCGGCGCCCCCGCTGCTCTGCCCCGGCCGCTGCGGCCCGGCGCGCGGCAACGGGCGGCACCTTCCGCCGCGCTCTCGCCTCCCATTGGCCCGCGCGCTGAGCGGCGGCAGCTGAGGCCAATCAGAGTGCGGATGGGGCTGCCGGGAGCGCGTGGGGGGGAGAGGGGGAATATCACGCAGTTTTAATGACAGCGTCGCACGAGGGCGGGGCCTGAGGAGGGGGCGGGGCCTGAGGAGGGGTGGGGCCCGATGAAAGGGGAGGGGCCTGAGACAGCGGCGGGGGTTCTGTAAAATGGGCGGTGCTTGAGGCAGGGGGCGGCGCTTGAGGCGGGGGGCGGGGCCAGGGCGAGGAAATGGCGGGCGTGGAGGCCGCCCTGAGGGGAGCTGGTGGGCGCTGGGACAGGGTCCGGTTGGGGTCGCGTCTCCCACGCCAGGGCCTTTCCCATGGCAGGATTTTCCCTGGATCTTTGTGTACAAAACACCCCAAAATGCCTGCCAGAGGGCTGGGTGCTTCCCGAAGTCCCGCTCCCTCCTTTTCTCTTGGGAAAGAGYGGGAATTTGGGACAACGTGAGGAAGGGCCAGAGTCTGGAGAGGACAGGGAATTCTGAGCGAGCTGGGTGATCATGTGGAGAGGGGAAGTTAAAAGGGCCATTTAATTTCCCCTTTTCCGGCCTAATATGCTTGGCCTTGCGCGGGAGGAAAAGCCCAGTGTGGAAATGCGGGTCGGGCACACGGAGTCCGGCTCCTGGGAGTCCCGGGGCCGCTGCATCCCAGTGAGGAGCTGGGATGGGAGCGGAGCACAAAACACAGGGCAGGCTCCATGCGCTCCGAATGGGAGGGCTGGGGAGCAGATCCCGGCCCTTCCCGCACTCCGGACGCCGCACGTCCCGTCCCATCCCATCCGGAGCACGGCACCGGCTCCCCGCATCCCCTTCCCAAAGGACGAGCCCGGGGCTGAAACGAATCCAAAATGTTTATTTCCAACGAGTACATTGACCACGTGGGGTGGGGACGCGCGCTACATCACGACTCCGGCCTGCCCGCGCTGAGGGCGTTTGGTCTATTTTTTAAAATTTCCTTTAAATTTTATTTAGGACAACCCCCCCCCCCACACACACACACCGAGGTTGACGTTTGCACGGCCTCGCTGCCCGGAGCCTGCGGTGCCGCTCGCCCTTGCCATGAGCACGGGTTGTAGGAAAATGAAATGAAAACAAAAAATTTTAAAAAAAATGAAAATGAGAAAAAGAAAAAATGAAAAATGAAAATGAAAAAAGAAAAAGAAAAAATAAAAAAAAGAAAAGAAAAAAAAAGAAAAAAGAAAAAAAAGAAAAGAAAAAAGAAAAAAGAAAAAGAAAAAATAAAAAGGGAAAAAAAATAAAAARGGAAAAGTGCCATTTCAGTTCTCCAGACATTTTTCTCAAAAGCCCAGGGGTTCCCTTGAATATTCCCACACTGGGAATGAGGCACCAGTGCACGGAGGTGACATCCATTTGTCCCYGCATGGGACACGGGAGTGGCTGCGTTTTGTTTGCGGGGTGAAAACACCCGGCAGTAAAACACTATCAGTGAGCAGCTAATTCCCAATCCCCGTTTTGGGCTTTTCCTGCAGCTTTTCTGTGTGTCTGTTTATTTTAGGTAGGAATTCAAGGTGTGAAATAGGCAAATCTTTAAGGAAAGGTGGTTACCAACCGCTTCATGGCAGCGCTCGGGAAGGGGCTGGGGGCGAGGAAGACCCCGGGCTCGCGCGCGTCACTCTCCATCACAGCAAACCAGCACGGAAAGGGAAAGATGGACCGTTTTATGGGATATTTACAGCGTTCCCGGCAGYGCCGCGCGCGGAGCCGGGAAGGGAACGGGGGCGAAAGCCGGGATGGGGGTGCTGGGTCTTCRCGCCAGGAGACTAGAAAAAGAGTACGAAAAAAGGTAGAAAAACCCAAAAATGCACTTGTCACGGGCTAGAAAGAGTCACAGAAAGGTACCGCGAGGTTGTTTCCCTCCGGGACGCGGGGATTGAAGCGGAGCCCGGGTGGAGAGCGGCCCTCCCGCAGCCGCAGGCAGAAATCCCGCCGGTTCCGAGATGCGTAGGAAAAAACCGGAGCTCCGGCACCAAAAGGGAGCCGTGCGGAGCGGGATGAACGCGGACGGGGGCGGAGGAGAGGCACGGAGGTGTCGGGAAAAGGGGCCGGAGCCTCTTCCCAAAGAAGCGCCCGCCTCAGGTGTCCCCCAATTCCCGCTTCCCGCGGGATAAGGCATGGCGGGAGCCGCCCGCCTCCRGGCATCCCGTGCGGCGGCGGCGGGGAACGACAGGGAAACGCGGAGCGAAAACGGAGCGACTGCCCATGCACTACAAGCCATGACCTGGGTACGAAGCGGCAACCACGAGACACGAGTCACTCTTAATTGCGGAGTTGGAACTACCACGAAGGAAGCGCCGGGAAGCGGGATCCGGCCTCGCGYGCCGGCCCCGCGCTCCCCGCATGCCCGAACGGAATGAAAATCAGCACAAGAGCCAACATTAAGGAACACCACAGCGAGCTAAGCCTGTTGCTATATACCCGACAACTTAAATAATAATAATTAATAATAATAATTAAAAAATCCTATTTGGAAAGAAAAAAAAAGAGGAAAAAACCCCGACAATATCATTCCAAGACGGTTACGCACATCCTCAGCAACTCGCTTTGCTCAGCGCAGCTCGAGGGCTTCAAATACGGAACAACGGAAYGAGTTTGGGGAGCAGAAGAGCGACACACGTTTATTCTTTATTATTTTTGTTTGCTTTTTTTTCTCCCCCCTCTCTAGGCAACTCTGCAGACTTTCGCCTCGCAAGGCGGATCGTCTCACTGCCCCGAAGGTGGCCGGGGTCTCTAAACATGCACCTCGCTGTGCCCAGCCCGCGGATTTTACTGATTATTTCGGTTTTTGCTACGTATTTTTGTGTGTGTTGGCTTAAATTCAGTGGACTACCAAGTTGTCCCCCCCATTCCTAAAAAAAAAACCCCTTTGCGTCAGCGTTCAGGGCGGCCCCGCGCCGGGGAGGCTCCTCGCGGCGCTACAGGATCACGCAGAAGAACTTCTTCTCCCGGAAGGGGTTTTCCGAGGCCGGCACGGGCGTCAGGAGCGGGTCCTCCTTGGCGCGCGCCTCGCAGTACGCCATGAGGTCGGCCGCCGCCTTGGACACCTGCAACGGCCGCGCGGATCCTCACGGAACGGGCAGGGGCGCA